AAAAATCTAATTAAAATATTATTATTAGCTAACTAAAATACATCGAATTCATACTAGAACTGTTGTGGCAATGGCGTATTAAGAATTTTTTCAATGAGAGAAATATTTACTTAATTATTCTTTAATGTACTACAAAATCTAGATATTGTTATTAATTCTAACAGAGTCCGATCAATATGAATAAATAATAAATAAAATATTACATTTCTGTCATACTTTTAGAATTTTAAAATTTCATCAAATATAGAAGTAATGTTATAATTTAAAAATGTAATTAGAACAAAAATATTCTCAAGCGATGAGGATATCTAACCTATATAATTTGACATCATCATTGACACCATAAATACACCGTTAGATTGTGATGATCATAATATGAATAATATTATAATGAAATATTTTGCTCATCAATGATCATATTTAATTTAAATTGAGTTGAGTAATATTTTACTAAACGTTTTTATAAACTAACAAAATATAATAATTATATAATGATTTGGATGACGAATTTGATTAATGGACGTATTATTTTAGTAACTGTCAGCTATTTGAAAATAATTACATGAATAAAGCCTAGAAAAAATATAAAAGATCTCTGAAACCTTATCCTAAAATACTAATGAATTAGATTTTCGATATTAAAACACCTTAACTTATAGAATCGCTGTACAATTTTTATTTTATAAAATTTCTGATTTTGATGCGCAATACAATGCTCTAAAATTAAATTTTTCCAACAGTATATGTATATTAAAACGTGGTTTATAACATATTTTAAAATTGTACAATTCATAAATATGTTAAATAAGTGTTCGAACAATTATTTATTATTATCGAACAGTTATTGAGTTTACAAATTTTAAATTTTTCTAAAAATATAATCACTCTTAAGTTGCATTTTATTCATTAAATTTTCAGTTTTAGATCTAAAAATAATAGAAATAAAATCAGAATATTTTTATATTTAGTATTTCAAATTTAAAAATTCAAGTTTCAGAATTGAAGTAGTATTTTTCAATTTATTTAGTTATTACTCTTTTAGGCACGATTTCATCTTCTTTTTTATATTTTAATAGATATTTATAAGTACTGTTGAGGGACGAAAGCGTTATATACCTAATGCAAGACTGCAGATAAGTCGTATTACAGTATTAACAAATTCTTCAAAGCACTTGTGTGTCTCGTCATCAACATATTCAGACGAAAATAGACTGCTGGAAGATAAAGACAATTTGTTTTTGGAATTTTACAAGAGTCTAGTTGGATATGTTCGAAATAATATTACAATTGTACTGCGTACTCGTGTATACGACAATCTCGTGTAGAAGCGACCGTTTATCTCTTCAAAAGACGACATTTTTGAAAGTCGAAACCCTTATTACATAACCCTTTGTTCGGTATAAGTGACACCAAGGCCGGATGAGGAAGAATCATCTCTTACTACTGTCTACGCAATAATATCCTTTTTGGTGTATAATATATATTCGCAAGCATTGTCGGTATTGTAACTGAAATCCCCTCCCCGAGTAACACTCATATATGCACACACACACACACACACACACGTACACACACGTACACGAATTCGCACACACATTAATCTACAATATTTCAATTTAAATACACACGACGAACGTGTTATTTGTGTCCAGGCGCGCGTACTGCGGCTAACAATATGCCATGTCACTGAAGTGAACACATATTAAATGTTATAACTATTTTATTTATGCACGTTTGCATTTTTATTGCGTCCCAGCCATTATATAACGTTGGTCAGTGTACTCGGTCCGACACTATGAACCTCCCCCGACAACCCCCCTCGCGACCGATCGTTGTTGTCTTCTGTCTGCCAAATTGTGCGACCCCTCACGTCGTGCCCAGAGTAAACGACTGCGCCGCACCAGTCAACAGCGGCGAAGAGCGAAATGTTTGCTATGGGACCATGTTGACGGACTAGGGGATTAATGAAAATCATTAGGCAGACACTGCAGGCAAAGAGCTGATCCATTATGTATATACATGCACATCGTATGCTCTGAACAAATATTTGATTATGTGCAGCATTTCATTTTACTTTTTTATAAGAAGAACACTATTTTTTTTCACCTCCTTTCCTTCCTTTGATATGTTACTCGTATGTTGTGAAAACGCAGGATAACAATTTTTTTAACAGGTTTTTCTGTTTCAAGCGGGTATGTTTAATATAAATCATAACAATACATTTTCCGGGAATTCAATTGGTAGGCTTTCGGTGTATGACACAAATGTTGACTGTAGAGCAAAATACTAGGCACACAAAAGCTATTACGATTCGATTTCTATTAAACAGTGATCCGATGTTTTTTAATTTTATATCCATCGCTTCCTGTTTTTTTTTCAGCCGTCACAACGCACGTAGAAATATGTTATATGACGATATGATGAAATCGATGGTGAATACAAGCTGATTTATGTTTTCGAACTTAAGTCGGGTATAGTAGTCATAAGTATTTTATGACCAACGTTTCACCTATTTCTATCAATAGATTCGCGCACGACCAATGTAATTGTAGTAGATTTAACTGCAAAATCCACAACCCTTCTCACATGTTAATGAGTGCAATGTACACACTACAAACATGTTGACGGTAGTCATTGCTAATGTTGACTTTCAACCGCATTACTAGTTTACAAATAGAAAATTGGGTAAAACAGGAAGCTTTTATCTATTTGCTCATGGTCGTTCTATGGAATAATTGTATTATAATAACTTATAATAAATATTAATAGATTTATGTTAAATATTTGGTACCCAATTAACAATTTATTTTTTTTGAAAAACGTTTTAGAAACTAATAGGTGATTATAATTTTTTGAGAATAAGTTATATTTTTAATTTTCAACTTGATGTTTCTAAAAATAAAAATAAAAATATAAATATTATATATCATTTTATATATATATTAATATCGTGTATTGTACCTAGTATATTTGAACAAATGAACATTTACTTTTCGTATGATAAATAGTTACCCAAGTTTTATTATTATTTCAAATATTTTACATAATATATTCTAAAGTTAAAATAAATAAAATTGTGAAACGATCCGAACGCAATGCACGCTTAATGAATTTCTTAATCCAGTGAAGAATTTAGATATGCCTTCAGTTAAAGTTTTGTGATTGAAATCGCAAGAGCATGTTCACTAGGTTTCATATATATTTGATTTTAATGTTGATTAATAATGGTGTTAAGTAATTTAAAATTCTATACTTATATTTTATTGTCTACCTCGTATATACGACAGAGTAAAGGTATCAAACATTTAAAAATAAATTTTAGGTACAATAAAATATTACTTGTGTTTTTATAAAGTAGATACACAATTGTTTTATACAGTTGTGACAGCAGAACGTTTATCTTTCAAGTATAAAACTAGTATAAAATCAAGTATAAAATCCCCTTGGTTAACTTTTATAAATATTTTTAAAAATAGTAATATTATTAATACTAAGAAAATTATTATATGTTTTAGATAACCTGACAAATTTGATTTTATATAATAAAAAATATATGGAAATGATAACTTGTTTATTTATGAGGATTTACTTACCTTTTAACAATAATATAATATAATATCGTTATAATATATATAACGAGTATAAATTAAAAATACATAATTATAGAAATTGGATTATGTTAATTTTCTATTCAAATAAATAAACAATTCCGATGTAGATTTATAAATACTTTTTAATAAAAAATGTCATCACTTATCAATTCATCGAAGTTCATAAATATAGAAAGTAAGAATGACCAGGATCAAAATTAGAAAATAATTATTTATTTAGATGTTAAAAATATTTTGATTCAAATTATATTATATTTTATTTAATAATGGTGATATTTTTTTTTTTTTTTTTAATACGACTCTGAAGCTTCTACATCAAAATGCAAAATATAAAAAACGTATATAATATCGTCATTTGTGTTTTCTCTAAGGAAGCAATGGAATAAATATTTAAATAATAAACAGTAGGCTTAATATTGTACTTACGACGCATAGGCGCAATTTTAAGTATACCAGTCACCATAAATTAAACTTGATTCCCTTTGTACAATTATTTGATCGACGTTGTTTTTAAAACATTGCACGGAATCGTGTTGTGAAATAAATTAACAAAAATTAATTTACATCACGCTGCGATTTATATTTACAACGGTTTTGAAACAAAACTTCAGTCCTTAAAGTATAAATTGAATAAATAAACTAGTGAAATGTTAACCGCTCTTATATGAATAGTTCGCCATCAGAACTAGTATTCTTCAAAAGCTGATTGGGTTTTCTTGCAAATTATGCACCTTATTTGTATTCTTAACAATATTTTTTTTACCAAAAAACAATTTAATAATTTCAACAAACATCGATTTTCTTATGATTACGATACCAACTAGTTTTATAAATTTTAAGTACAGCAAAGACTATATATAGTTTTTTTTTTTTTGTAACTAATTTATTCTATCATTAAAACTGATTAATTGGGACTTTTGTTGAAAATTAACACTCTGCATAATATTGACTTCCACCCACTTATGCGATATATGAAAAACATTTAAGTGTCATCAAATTTTTAATCCAGCTTTTCCAAATTCTGGCTACTAATATTTTATGAGGAATTAAAATGTACAACAATCTTAGCCTAACTGGTGCATAGTCTGTCTTGCATATACATATTTTTTATTTCTCTCTTTTTTTCTTTTACTCATACATACACACATACACACACACAAACAAACACACACATATATATTTTTACTCTTTGTCCAGCATTACTTCTAGTTCGCTAGATGTTCAGTGTTCAACGAACTGTATTCTGTTTATTTATTTCCGCTTTTGGTCTGTGACTATAAAATCCGTAAATATGATTACGATAAAATAAAAATATTTTAATATTAATGATTATATAACACTATAATATTATTATTAACCATTTAACAAAAATTTGTTTGATAATTTCAGGCTGGGCTATCGGAATCGACGAACGTAACTGGAAATATCGATTGTCTATTTACTACGTTAAACAATTCGATACTGGAGTGTATACGTGCACAACATCACGAGGCATCAACAACACTATTACGCTGCGAGTGTCAGGTAAATCGAAGTTACAAATTAAATATTTTCCGTTACTTTTGATACGTTACATAGATTAATTCCAAAACAGATTATCTCCTCGTATGTATTTTAATTAATATCCTTGATATTATCATTATTTTTTTTTAAATATTGAAAATATGTTCAAGATACTTATGATATACATATAGAGTATATACGAGTATTTATATATACACACGAACAACAATAGACCCAACAATAATCGACAAAACGATTTATTATAATTTTACATGCTGTTGGATTGGATCCAAAGCTTTAGGTACGGGGCTGTAATAGAAGTGAGAGTCTAAATTGCTACTAGAAATTAACTCAAGCAACAAATAACATCGATTGAATAACATGCTCTAGTGTTCTATGTAATCGCGCAATTATAGATAGCTCATATAATATTAATGACATTCAATACAATAAAATAAAAATGTTAATATTAGCGTAACAGTAATTGTTATCGACTGAAATTTAATTGGTGTGTCTCCAATATAATATAACTCTAAATTTGAAGATAAAAATGAATTTAAAACCTTACTAAGAATTCTACTAATAAGCCATAAAATATAAATCAAGAATAGCAATGCCCAAAATAACTAGATACAAATAATCAACTTTGATTTTATCATATAATTATATTGCATATTACACGTATACTTTATAAAATATAATCTATTGTTTTGCCTAAATAAAATTTCTAATAAAAGAGTTGAATTTATTGTTTTATTTTTTTTTTTTTTTTTTTGTTTTTTTGATTCAACAAACTAATACTTAAGTAAAATTGAACTTCAAACTTTTACTGCAAGAATGAATTCATTGATTAAATATATATATATATATAATAAAATTATTTTCGACCAGTAGAAATAAAATGCAATAAGTATCATGAAATATTAAATTATTAGTATAAGAAAATTAATTTATTAAAACATTTAACAGTAGTAAAATAATATCTGATAATATAAAATAACAAAAAAACTTAAATCGAAAATGTCATATAATATTAAAAAAACATACGAGTACATAAGTTTTCAATAAATAATATACCAATAATATTATTGAAAATTAAATTATACTAATACTTTTGAATTCAAAAAATACAATAAATAAAACTATATAATATCAAAGAATAAAAAATAGTGAAAGTATGTGCAAAGTAATTAATGAATAATATAAATTTCATATACTTAAGAATAACAACAGTGGTTATAATTAAATACGAGTTGAAATAATAATAAGTAAACACAACAGATGTATGATGGAAAATATTTTCTCCTACTATTAATGATTCTTGCTTACAAATGCTTTAGCTAAAAAAAAAAAAAAATGTTAGGACTTCTTCATAAATATAATATAAAATATAAGTAGAAAATCAAATTTCAATTTATTTTTTGTTATACCTAACACAAGTGTAACATCAAAATAAAGTATAAGTATCACATTATTAATACAGTTTGTAATGATACTTTTCATTTTCAGAAAATTTATTTGTGATAAAATTTAAAAATGAGGAAATTTTCTAAGTTTTCTTATTTATCGTTTTTTTAAAACTTAATTATTATATTAGAAGAAAAATAAATATTATTTTAAAAATTTATTCAAAATAAATATCTGTATACAAATTAAAACTGACATAATACATAAAAAAAAATGTAATCTTTAAACTTAAAATGGCTCTAGTTCAAAATCAATATAGATTTTTTACCTCACACACGTAGAAGATAATGAGAACAAATGTAATTATAGGAATTCCTTTTATTAATTCTATTGAAATATTCAATCGAATACATTTTGTATATGAAATTGATTTTTATTAAAGAAATACCTAAATTAAAAATTATTTACAATATTTCATTACTAATAGTTTCCTAACAAACGACACAATAACTTATAGGAAAATTTATTAATTTCGAACTATTGTTTTAAACATCATCGGATTGTGGAAAATTTACTTTTCTTGATTTATAAGATCAAAAACAGAAACGTGTTGACGGTTCATACTTAGCCAACTCGTGGGATTACTATTTAGTGATAAATGGATTTTACAGCCTATAGGGATATACCATATATACAAGACACGAATAATAAGTGAAACAGCCCTAAACGAAAATACGATTACATTTGCATCTAGTTTTTAACCTAATAAAATTGATAACTTTATTTTTCTTCTTAATTTAAAATTCTTTAGTATATTGTTATCTACTAGCTTAAGATGAAATTATATATAACTGAAAATGAAGTTAAATTATCAAAAGTAACAAAAGTAACCACGGAACAAATAACCAACTAAAATTAAACATTAGATTAACGTTTTAACTATATTGAAATAGCTCCATGGTGGAGACTATATAAAAAAAATCTATAAAAGAGTAAGATCAATAGCAAGTATTGTTTTTGTATCGTTTTCCGTCACAATCAGTCTTATTAATAAATACTTGTATTTAAATAAAGAAACAAATAATTATCAAGTCATTAAATTATCAAATTAAACACTACCTTGGATATTCCTGTAGAATTTATCAAAATACGTTTATACATTTAATAACAATTGCTATTGAATAATTAAAAAGGACAAAACTCCTAGGTTGGGTGAGAATTCTCGATCGGCTGAAGTACAGGAATGAATAAATAATAGTAAAAACAATTCCTAGTGAAATAAATGGGGTAAATATATTTTTTTATTTTTTACTTTTCACAATTTCTATGCAATTATTAAGAAAACTATTAGGAATATCGTATAGTGTCAACTGAACAACATTTTATATTATAAATCTTTCACGATTTCGATGATTTAAGCAATCCAGTTAAAATTGTGCACATAGGATAAGATAAAAAAAATAATTTTCTAATTTTTAGAACAAATATTAAATATTACAATTAATAGATTTAAAAATTTTCAACTACAAAAACGAAGAGGATTTTCGTAATTTTTATCAACATTTTATATTCAAACTATCATATACAATTTTTTTTTTAATTCCATTAATTTGTCATTTTCTTACCAGTAATAAATATTTAAGAAAAACTGTATTTTATTTTTAATAATTTTTGTCAAACTAAAATTATTTTATCGACATTTCATGAAAAAAGCAAAGAAATGTGGAATTTTTAGAAATATGTCAATGTAACATTTTTAAGTTTGTACGATTGTAATTTTCTGAATTGAAACAAAAATTTAATTTAATTTAGTCGAAAATTAGTGAACCGTAAATATTGTTATTTTTTGTAGTTTATATCAATTATTTGAAAACATTGTTGAGAAATTTAAAAAATTGCTGTAGGTTTTAATAGAATAATAAATAACACACAATACTTGTCGGTATTGGATATTTATTTATTAAATATTAATTAAAGAAAATAATAAAAACTATTAGGCTAATAAACAATAACACATGGAACTACTTTAAATAAGTAATATATGGCGTAGCGTAGATAAGATGAAAAACAATTATTCGACCAGTATAAAGGCGATAATGCATTAGATTATTCTCAATAATTCTTACTCTAGTATTCTCACTCTAGTATGTTCTCATGATTATCGATCGTTGTTGGTAGTTGCTACAGTTTACCAAATTATTAACATTTATTATTTTATACTTCTATTATTACGATAATTGAAGCATTCCTTTTCAGTTTCCATTCCAGTTGTAAAAATCGCGTATACAGACACAAAAAACACACATCATGGTAAAACCAGTATATTTGTTGTTTCACTAATCAAAAAATCATTAACTATATAACTATATTTTGTTATCAAATTATAAAATATAAAAACATTCACATTTGTATATATTCGTATACATTATATATTTTACAATAAAATAAGTTCAAAGCATTTATTCGACAACATTTATAATTAATTTTTCACTATACATCTCACAGCAAACCTATATTAACTATATACAAAATCATATATGTGATATATTTATAAATAGTTTATGATGTAAGTTAATATAAAATTTTAATGTAACGGACACATGTGCAAAGTTCTATTAAATACATTGTTACCAGTTTCTATTTGTATAAGAAAGGTAGGATTAATTATCTCTAAGTTTAGTATCTTTTTAGCTATAAAAATTATGTTTTGTGTACATGAAAGATGTGAAAGACTGTAAGCATCTTAAAAATGTAAATACTATAATTTTTCTTACATGTTTATTTAATGATTATAAAAATTTAAAAAGTGTATTGTTATTTCTCAATTTAACTTGGATGTTCAAGAAATACAATATAATATTTTTCCTTATTTTGTATGTATTTTTAATTTAAAAAAACATTCTCGTCCGATTATAACACAAAATTTTCAAAGAACAAAATGTTTTTCTTAAAACTACCTTAAGTCAAGAGGATAATTATTTTAAATGGAATAATCAGATTATACTCACGAAATAATAGTATATTATCAAAAATAATATTCACTAGTACTCATTTACTCAAAATATAAAACACAAGTTATATTCCTCCACACAACGTGTATAACAATTTTAATTATTTCGTTAATAATAATTGAATTCCATAGAGAATCATCATTATGTGTAAGATAGAAACTATAGTCTTGTAAATTATTATCTTTTATTTCTACTATTATATAATTTGTGTTTAAAAGAAATAATTAACCAATATGACCCGTAGGAAGCATATTTCAAATAATACAAATTTAACACGGAATCGTGCATTTTTTCATATTTTTCTCATTATCCTCTCCCACGTGGCCATTTAAATCCTCATAGAATGTTATAAACCATACCAACCAGCCATTTATTTCGATCCTACGTATCATTCGTTCATTTTTTTCCGAGAATTCTACTCAACACGTCGTATCACGTTCCACTTGAAATCCTTATGCACCTTCTATTACAATATGAATCGTTTATTCTGCACAGTGAATCTCACCAATAATGTCTTATTTATTTTTCCTGCATCCTTAATATTTATTTTTATACGCTCATTTACCACAACGTACTATATTCATATTCATATGTATTCTACTTTTCGAATCGTACATAGCGTATAAATTATTTTTTATTTCTCGCAAGCGTGACAATGTATTATACTTTTTAGAGTTCAATCTGAATCATGCCAAACCATAAAATACTAAATATTAGTGTAGTACCTTAAATCTGCATTTATGTGTTTTTTAATTTAATTTAATTATATAATAAATATGCATTCTAAACTTGAGTAATATTCGGAGTAAAATTTTCCGAATACTATATTCAAAATATATAGTATTTTGAATACTATTGAAATAATTTTTTTTTAGTATTTAACACACTATTTTCAATACTTTTTTCCATTTAATCTAATTTTTTAAATAATATCAACATTTTTACGTAATATTAATTGCACTGGTATATAAAAAGGTGCACAATAATTTATGATTATATAATATTAAATTATTGAGTTTCCTACTACTTTTAATGTAAAATTATGGATTTTTCCCAATTTTATAGCAATAGTAAACAATCCAACAACAAATATAAGATACTTAAACCAATAAAATAAATATGTTGGCACATCTAGAAAAAAAACTGAAAAAAACTTGGATAACTCTTATAGTATTTAAAATAATGTTTTCAGAATACAGTTTTTATAGAATATTTAAATATATATTCTACTATTTTTACTATTTTTCATAAATATATTAGTGATTGTTCTTGATACTTTTAAAAAGTGTTTGACCCAAATCTATAATCTTTTCTCTCATACATAAAATATATTTCTTATATTTATAAAATACATCCATCCAAGTTTAAGTATTGGTATATTGAGTATACATTTGATGACTAGATTGTATTATCAATTATCCATGTGATGCTATAACGAGCTTGATATTTTAATAATAATAAACATCCAATTTTAACGTAATACATAACTTTAATTACAGAAATTCGGCAAACTAATTTTAATTCATTTTGTTTTACCAGTATATTATTGTTTGGCTAGCGATCAAACGAAACTTTTAATTGAATATTCATCAAAGAAATGTCACTGAAAAAGTACGCTTAACCAATATATTTTTCACTTTTGCGGGAAATTGAAAGGAACTATCTTCGGTATAAAAATAAAAATATAGTTAAATGACAATATTTCATTTATATATTGATTAAAATATTATAAATAATTTTGAAACAATTTTAAATTTTCAGTTTAATATGTCCAACGTATATCATTATTGGTATCTAAAATACTTGAGAACATATTAGTAACCTATTTTATAAAGTTGAAGTAAATATACAAATATTATGTCATTTAGCAAACATAAAAAATGTTATCACATTTCATTTGAATATAAATATAATTTTCGATATTAATTTTCTTAGCTATATTTACAATTATACAAATTAAAAATTATACGTGAAACACAGAAATACCAAAACACATACTATCCAAAATAAAATGTACAAGTATTTCATCCATAGAAAATTTTGTTATGTCATAAGAGTATTGTAAAACATAAATTTATATCTGAAAAAAATAATAATTAAATATATTTAAAAATAAATGTAAATTACTTTCTCACATAAATTTGAAAAATTATTATGAATGATATTATAGACTTATAGACAGTGAAATAACTAATATATATCAAATAAATAATATTATTATTGTAATAAAACAATTTGTCAATAAATATTATAAAAAATTGAATAACAAATAATTAATTTGTTAATATGTTCCTCGTTTAATTTTAAATTTTCATTATTTCTTTATTTATTATCTTCCCTTTTAATTACGATATTTATGAAAAATTGGTATAAAAGTCATACTAATTCATTCTTTTGAAATAGTATACGAGTAAATAAGATCTATGTGTGATTGTTCGTTTATAAAACAAAATGATTCAACATTTATTCTAATTTTTTACTACTATAGTCATCGTTGTTTATTAACAATTTAATTTAGTTTACATTAATTTTGTATAAAATACTGTTAATTGAGATTAATTTTAAATGCTTGATAAAAAATCAGAATTTTAAAAAAATAATCTCAAATTAAAAATGTGTGTAAATGGAAATTATAAAACGAATTTAATTAAAAACCGGACATTGAAACATATTACATTCAGATGATCAGTTAGGATAACTATAAGCAATTTTATTTATTTTTAAATGTATATTTGTGAAAATTATTTAAAAACCAATACATCTTTGAATCTAATAACTCAGAGAATAAACTTTAAAATCTGATTAAAGAGTTGATATTTACTTTTAATATGTTTCAATAGATGTTCACTGTAAACCAGTTCCTAGCATGGATCTTAACCCACATCTCAACTACAGAGCAAGTGGTCACCGGCTAGGGCAAACTACGTATTTCAACTGTCCACCAGGATTTTTTCTTAAAGGTCCTGCAAATATCACATGTCTTCCATCAGGTCAGTAAATATTAAATTAATGAACACATTTTTTAAATAAAGTATTAAAATATACGCAGCAAATCGCGCACCAGAATAATTATTAAACAATTTTTATTTATTGTTAAATTATCGATTATATAATGATATAACTCTTCGATAATTGGTTTATTTAGCACATTTAATTAAAATATTTAAAATCGTACTTATATACCTACTTCAAAATGATTTCGTTGCAACTTTTAATAGGGATTATTAAAATTAATCAGGGATAATTTAAACCAATTGTTTTGCGCTTATATAGTTTAAATGTGCACGCGTGTATTACTGCTTTATGCTTCTAAACTTTTCAATGAGTTTCAATTTTAGTTCCACTTAGTAAAATATCAAAATAATAACATTTCACCAACAATAAAGTTATTATATGTATATATCACATATATTCGTATTTTATAAAAGAGTACACAATTTGAATCCTAATCCTGTTTTTTTTTCCTATAAAGTTACTCATTCCGAATGAAGTTCTCTGATTTTAATTTCTTGAAAATTTTTAATTTAAAACTTAATAAATATTAAATACTTGAAAAACTAAACCAACTTTATGAACTATTTACCAAGATCTTATTATGATGCATTCAATTATGTACTCTTGGGACTCAAAATATTTCTATATACATATTTCAAATCTATTTGATTATGTGTTATTATTTAATATCGTAATTCATTGAGTGACATATAATTTAAGGTCAACCAAAAAAGATACAAGATTAATTAAAAAAAGTAAATATATTCTTCAATAATTTGATTTATACCACTGTCGCATAATAAGTTTATGTAATAAAATTGCTCCAAATCAAGTAATTTTCAAGCCATTATAATCTTATATATTTATAACTTGAAGTGAAAAGGGTCTTCATAACCTATGAATATCGTATACTTCCATCGTGCTACTATGTTTTGGATTAATTAGTTTTGTTGTTACTGAAGTTCTGAAAGTTCACCGTGGTAATGCCATATTATCGAAACGTTGATCCCTTATTCAGAATTTAGGGTGCGTAAAAAAAATGGATATTCATAAGAGTTTTGAAATATTTTAAATGTGGTTTCGATTGTAAAATAAGAAAAGTTTCGAATTGAGTTACAAGATTAATATGATTATAAAACGCTATTCATAATGGCCAAGATTATGCGATTTGAATACGTTAAAGTATTCGTTCTTTTTTTTTAAAAAAAAAAAAAAGAAACATTAAATTTGATACAAATGTACTTAATTTAAACAGATTATAACACAATATTTAATGTATTTGCTCAAATCAGATATTGCATATAAATTAAAGTTTTGATAATATGGTTGCACATCATCTTCAAATAATATTCATCTTATATTATTGTCTCTCAGAATTCTAATAGTTGTCAATTTTCACTTGTTTATTTTAATTTTATTAATTTCAATAATAACAATAATTATTTATTAATATTGCAATTACTTACATTTTTGTCATGGTACCACATATAAAAGAGTACAGTTTATTTCAGATATACATCATCATGTACTAAATTTTAATTTTTAACATAATACTTTGAATATTATAAACAAATGAACGACTTAATTTTATTTTCATAAAAGATAATTCAAAGTATTTTGTAATAGATTTACTAAATTATTTAAATTTTTTAAATAAATTTTAAGTATTTAAATTTTCAAAATGTAAAAAGATATTTTTGAGTATTTTGCATAGTTTTCTGATTTTTAATACAATGTATTTAAAAATGTAATTTACTATGTCTTAATATTTTTTGACCAACAGACAAAAATCGAAAAAAACAAATTATGATACTCTTCATTAATAATGTTTTATTTCAGTTAAAAAAATGACATTATTTATACCTTTATATTAATCTATATTATAGTTAATTAAAAATTACTAAATAATATCCAATCGTTAAACTTAAGTTATAAAATTACAAAAACAAAATTGATATGAACCATTAAAACGTATAATTAATTATGTTTTACATATAAGACTGTATTTTAAAAGTAGAACATTTCATAACATTTTAATCGTTATTCGTGAAGTATTTTAATTCAAGAATAAACGTTTCAACAAAATATAAAAATACTCGTTATTACGATGAACCTTATTTTATATTTATTTTTTAACCACAGAACATTAACCCTAGTTAAATGAGATTATTTATACAAAACGAGCCTCACGCCGTAAAAATTATAGTGAAATTGTATTTTCACAATTATTAATAGTCAGTGATTAGCAGTTTTAGAAACTCCAGGGGAACAAAAAATAAAAAATATACCCTTTTCCCCAACTATAATGGTCAGTAATTAAACTAGGGGACTTCCGTGGATTAAACGTGGATCCAAAAATCTGGGAGAATGGGGGGAAAAAATTAAGAAGCAAAAAATCGTTACAAATTAAATTAGATTTTATATTCTTCGCAGCATCAATTGTTAATGTGAATTGTTAGACAATGTATTCCGTCGAATCTGATATGCTATGGAGACTACAAGTTCTCGGTACTACAGTTCAATATGGTTTAATTAATACAATGAATCTGCCTCGGGATCTTGTAATTTAATAGTATAATAGCAGGAGACCAAAATACATTTTACGCTTGTAGAGTTATGCACTCAATTTTACTTAAAAAGGATTAGGCTTAAAACAAATCAAAAACAAAATTGGGTTTTTTTCTTTGTTGCACATTTCTCTTCGTAAATAAGAAAAAAGTTTATTTTTTTAATTATTATTTAAATTTTTTGACCATCGAAATAATACTTGTATAAATAATAATAATATTTATAAAAGTAATATTTTATACGTATATTATAGCATGAATAAATAATATAAAATAATCTTTGTTACCTATACGCTATGGTGCTACATCATGGACATAGAATAAATTAAATTATATGTTAAAAATATATTATGAAAACTTTGAAAGTGCGAATTTGAATTTACAATTTTTTTCTTTTTATGTATTTATACTTCAAAGTTATTAAATTCGAACTGCGTATAACGAACCTTCAAGCTTATCCGAACAGTTTAGTTTAATATGTCCCACTCGACAAAATGATTATACCGGGTCCTCGAGGGAAACTCAATCTTCTAGACACAGTGTATAGTGATTTCATGTCGAATACATTTTTTATTAACGTTTATCTTCAATATTTCGATGGTGATACAAGACGATGGTCGTAAAATATTACGTGTTCTATGTCGTCGTAAACGCCAAAACTAGTAATGATAAACAATTGTACGACGTAACGGTGAAGACGATAGGTTTTCGGTTTTGCGTTCCCAACAGTTGTTCACAGGATCGGTTGAGAAATGTTTGAAATGAACTTGAGACATGCCCGTCGCATGCGCCGGAAACTTTTCGAAACAATAAGTTTTGGTACCCTAAGTTCGACAAACGCGCGCACACGCAAATTCACCCCGTACACACACGCCCGAGAGACCTACACACGTACGCGGTCGACCACGACTCGCAGACCGGCGCGCAGGACTCGCGTGTCCGGATTTCATCAATTTTAATACTTCTCCAGCTTCTGCTCCCCCCCACCCCCATCCAATAATGATCTCAGCAGTGACGTGAGCACCCTTTCGGGCTCTGGGGACGTAAATAAAATTAATACTCATCTCTTTTCCACGCGCATTAACGTTTTATTGATGATTCGGTCCCGCTGGTCGCCGCATCCATTACTGACAAACGAACGTTAACTATATTTATTTTTTTTCTTTCCTTCGAACGCGCACGAACGTCCCTACCCATCTCCTCCACTTGAATTCCCACGAATCATGAGTTTTGCATTTCTAATCGGTGTGTAGTAGACGACACGAGCCGGCTGCTATTTGGAGATTGACTCGTGGCTTTCAGGAACGATCGTTATTGTTTTCATTTCGCTTTTGTACGTCGACTACCGTCGTCGGGCCCTTTACAATCAATCGAGACAATTGTATAGTCATCGTTCTTCGTTGATCATGTCCATGTCGTCGTGAAATCCCGTGAAAATCAATATCAAGCTACAAACCGCGAAGTTGTTGAAAGCGAAGTCGAATCGAGTTTTGGTGTTTAGTAAAAATAGTAAAATTCGACTCTTTGATTATGATAATATGTAACGCATATTTGTTACTGTATGACTGAGTACCATCCAATAATTGTATGAATAATTTGTCGGACTGTACGATAGATAATGATCGTATAACACAAAAAGGCAATGTTTATTATTAGTGGTGATTTATTTTTTCTTTTCTTAATAATAAGAATATACCCTACAAGCAACTAATATAATAAAAAAAAGGTGAGAGAAGAAGCTGTCCAATGATTGAACTTCTTTTTGCTTATACATATATACAGTGATCGAATTGGGGGGGGGGGGGGGCGGGGGGGCGAAGCTCCTCTATTTTTTTTTTTTTTGCATACCCCAACTATATTTTTTCACCGGAACGGGGGGACGCCACGTTTATCCTAATTGAAGTCCAAAGTAATTTTTATGTGAATTTCAATTTACGTCAATTGGAAAATTAATTTTACGATTTATAATATCAAAACTATTTTTATAATTAAAGATTATATGGTGGTTATGATAAGGGACAATGTCATAATTTCTGGAAAAATATAAATAGTAATGTCTGTGAATTCGGTGTATTATACTTTATACATTGTACGGTTTGTTATTAATATTGGCGATCGACGATATCGTCATTTCGGAAAAAAATAAATGCCCTCATCACGACCTTAGACTTATTTTCTAAGACCGTGGCCCGCACTAAAAAGGAAAAATAGATAAAAATAAAAACCAAATATATGATTATATCATTCGATTCATGAGACTGCCTAATCGCCTATAATTACCTTTGTTAGTTATTATTTTATTTTTATTTTCTATTGTAACATATAGGATGTTGGTATTGCTATCAAAATATATTATATTTGGAATTTAAATATTTATTTAGTTGAAAAGTGATATTCAAAATATATTTAAGGTTGGAAGTGGAAGGAAA